GTCAAACCTTGAATAACAACCACTAAAATGTTTTACCTCGCACCACATTAAGCCTCTAGGCACAAGAGGGTGGGTCAGTTTACTAATGGAGAAGAGTTGCCCTTAATTTGCTCATGCATGCCGGAGGGTACCAAACAACGACGATTTTATAATTAATTCCACCGCGCTTCACACATGGCGCATGGTGAGGTACAGCCTACTACTATAGAAGAGAATGGGTAGGGAATAACAGAAGGATATTGTTTGAAAGTGTTCGCATCCACGTTGTTTGGTTCCCTCAAATATGAATTAACAAACCATGTACGTTTCTATCAACAGGCACTGAACTGCAAATCTCAAACGGTGTTAAAAATTATTCTTACCAGAATTTTAAAATATAGCTTTAATGCTTACAAAGTTGACTCGCTCGTACGCCAAAGTATCAAATAGCGAATAACAACTCTAGGACTAGAATTGATTATGTATTGCATTCTTCCTTGCTCCAAATTGCCTATAAAAGCATACTGTAGACCACGGCCCTACAGTATTTGAACATCTACAGTGTTAAATGCATCTCGCATCATTTTCACCACTGAAGAAACATCGCGCTTATCGTGAACGATGCTGACTCGTCATACATATTACATTTAATTTTTTTTACTGCACTACAACACGAGTCTGCTGGAATCCAAGATAGGTTCATTACTCTGCTGAACCTTGCCTCCAGAAATCAAAGCGAGCAACAACTACGTGTCTAGCCGACCGGTAGAAGACCCATAGAATGGCCAAGACTAACCTGGCACAAATATATGGAAGGAGTTTACTCCGTACTCAGTGATCTGCTGATGCTCAGATTCTGGCACAGGATCAGGGAGGTTGAAAGCATTGTTTGGCGTGTCGCCTCTGCGATACGAAAGAAGAAGTGGCCATGGAAAGTGAAGTGACTCTGCCGAAATTTCAGCCTACTGAAATGAGGATGCAGCCACCGATCATTCAACTCATTCATAAGATCGATTGCTGATCGTTCTTTGTGATTTGCGACAATCGCCCGTGCTTGATCACGATGCCCAGCTTCGTATATCACGTGCGATTTGTCGCCGCAAGCTTCCATTTCTTTTTTTAGCTCATCATCCCATCAGAGGGGAGGTCTTCCACTTGTGCGCTTGAAGCCGTTGTTGTGCTGCTGTGCCACCGGCTGCCAAAAGGCGGGGAACAAGTTCTGACCACAGATTTTTCGCAGCCCTTCGCACTCCCTCAACTCTTGGTTACTTAGGCGACGACCAAGCCGGACTATTGGTTGATGACTACAGTATCATAATGGAAAGGTGGCTAAGTTTTACCTCACCTAAGAGACCTCACCATGGTCTTCAACCTTTCTCCTTTTATATCCGGACTTGGAATCAGCAACGGCGGAGTTACATGTCTATCTATATTTTCCATTTCATTCGATTTTGTCAAATGGTTTCTGCTACTGTGCTCGATTTTCAGGTGTCTTGGAAAGCACGTCTGTTTGCTCTTTCCTCCTGCTGAACTGGGTTCCAGATTATGGCTCTGTGGAGCATGGGCGGCTCAGAAATTTCCTCCGTGAGCTGGAGCAGGATTATCTTCTATCCAGAGATTCTTCCTTTGCGCCGCAGAGCGGTTCCTCGTCTCACAGATTGGTACTGAACCTGATAGTACTTTAATGTAATATTTACTATAGTATTTCTGTAGTACTGAATTGGCATATTTTGACGTATCATCTATCTTCTGAACTGAGGATATTTTTAAGATCAAAAGATGACTCAGCAACTGTTGCAGGCCGCCAATCGACTCTGCTTCTGTAAGGGTCTTTCCTATGGAGATTTGGAGATTTGTCGTCATATGAGGATAGGATACCCTGCTGCCCGAAGTACAACCTCCATTTCCATTCAGAACTGCTTTATCAACACTGCGTAACACATGTTCACACGACAGAAATTATAACGACCAAGGCCATATTCGAAAAGAAGCTTTTCTTCCTGGTCTTCGCACGTTAGAGCTAATCCACGTCCACCAGCACGTTTCTCACATGGCTTGTCTATGGGGACATAACTTAAGGCATGTACCTGCTGCAGAATATTTTCAACGAGTTCATGAGATAAAGTGAAATGAGTATTGCTTGCGCCTCTTCGACCTCAAAGATCGCGAAAACATGATCCAATTGTTAACGCACTATCTCTGAGCTTTGGGAAAAATGCGCATTGATGAGATCCGCCATGTTTCTTCTAAATGTCTGAAACGTTGTTACTTCAAATTCGCTATCTGAAAACTCGAAATTAACCTATCAAAGCTTTCTTTCATTTGTGAATCACCTCTCACCATATTTCTGCTGATTTCTTTTACCGCTCTGCAAATTATTTCTAAAACTATAACTTGCGGTGTATGTTTCTGCGAGTAAAATATTTATGCAGTTTCTTGCACACAAAGTTTAACTGCTGTCTAATCGCGGACGTTGAAACCATTTCGTCTATCAAGTGAATTGTGGCGACTACAGTTCTTTTCATTGTTGAGTCATGTAGACTGCTGAAAGTCAAAACGACGGGCACACTACATTCATCTGAAATAACCACTCTGATTTAATCTCTCGTGCCCTAGAAAACTGCCATAAGTTTGACAATGGCCACATCAACATTATTGTCAGACATCATAATACAATGAACAGGTAGAAAATAATTCTTAAGTAAAAGTAACAGCTATGGCATTTTATACAACATATATTGGGAAATATGACTAACACGCTGGATACGTGGAAGAGAATTAGACAAAGCTTAAAATGCATTTAGCCTTCAGACTAATGTCTCTTGCTGTTCTCTGATGGTTATCGATTGATGAATTGGCCCCTTAAGTAAAAAATATGATTACTTTTTCATGGAACCAGAAATCATGGTGATCGTCAATTGTCGACGGAGAATTTTGGAAATTATTAG